AATGGTTGACATGAGTTTGTGTCTCAAGAAGCCCTCAAATCGTTCCACTTCAGGGTGAAGTCTGCCTTGCCGATCCCCAAAATGTGTGTCACATGGAAAAGAGCCTAAGTTTGGACGGAAAAGGGCTGCCATCATTTTTGTAACTTGCCGGTGGGCTCTGATAAGTACCCCTGAAGCCTTTGGGCTTGATGCAGCAAATCTTGGGGTTTGATGTTAGCTCCACATCCAATCAATATTTATCAGGAACAGAAAGAAACCACATGAACGCCATCTAATTGGGATAGTGTCTTGTGATTCCAGGTGCCCACTCTACATCAATCACCAATGCTTGTAGGGCTCCAAGCCACCCAAAAGCGGCTCTTGCAGCTTAAGCTTCCACGAACATGGGCTTGCCATAACCCACTTCTCGCTTCAGCGTCTTTACCAGATTCTCCGCTTGCTCACACATCAGTGGCATAATCACCTCATCCGTAGGTCGCTCGCCCAACAAACAAGGGTCAACCAAAAAAGCGAAGCAATGGTGAATGCGAAGCAATAACTGAGGCAGGTGGAGGTTTTGTAGGGGTCCGGACCCCTCCACAAGCTTTCTTTAGATTTTTCACCTGGGAAGCCAAGTTCAAAGCTGTGGCAAAATTGTGACCCACTGCTTAAGCTGACACGGGATTCTGGATGAAGCGACATGAGACCCCTATGTAATAAGGAGTTGGGCAGCGGGATGTATTTCAAATGAGGAAACCATTGGTTCACCTAGGCAGCAACCCCCCAGCACCCCCAGGCAGCCACCAGGAGAAAGGATATGAAAAAATGAAACGATCACATAATATCACATATGCCGCCACTGGCAGCTGCTCGGACCAAAAAGCAACGCTGCTAGGAGACCTTCATGCCCTTGATTGAGAAAGGGCTCTTCAGAATGTTGTGTGCGATCTGCCATCTAGGATCATCCGTGGGCACGAAGAATAAACCTCAGCTCCGGAACCAACGCGTGTCCTGGGGCCGATCCGCAGTCAATGCCCTACACACGCGGTAAGGAAAGACATGCCCTCCGACCGCCAAGCACAGGAATCCGCTATTTGGAGCGGTAAGTTGATAATTATGCACAAAAGCGGGGTGGCTGCAGCAAGTGGGTTGTTGGTTCTTTTGGCTTCCGGATCCTGTGCCACGATGTGCCACGACCAACAGTAGCGCGCGGAAAGAGCGCGCCTTGCCCAAAGAGCTTGTAGACCAGGTCCCCCATGCGGCCTTGCCGCATATCCTTCGTGAACCTGACGAGAGCGCAAAATGTCTGGACTCTCTGAGGCAGAGTTATTCTCAACAGCCGCAAGCCAACTTGCGCCTTCAACCATGAAAGATCGATTCCAAGACTTGAACACTCATCGCACCATATCGCACCTTTATGCCATCTGGAAAACCCCATCTCCAGGTCCCGGATCCCAGTCTGTCCAGTTTGACTTAGCGATTCTAGGTCTTTTTTTATTTGATCTGAATCCCCGGGATCATCCGAACAGCCTCGTGGAAACAGCCACTCCCAGCCCTCCCCAGCACCCTCAGGGCGCCTCTGGGGATCACCGCTGCACAGCTCCTCGGCCATCGCCGGGTCGGTGACCACCACGAAGCGCTGGCCGAACCTCGGTGGCCAAACCGGTGGATGGTGGTATCCACAGCAGTCCAAGCGATGCTTCAGATGTTCCGGCGATCTTTCCCAACAAAACTGCTATAGGTTTATTTAGGACGTATATACTGTTGTGGTTGAGTGTTCTTGCTGTTCTTTTTTCCCTCTCTCCCTCTCCAAGCTCAGCAGAAGTTGAGTTGTGGTCAAGCTAAGCCAAGCTACTCACCCCTCCACAAGCCAAGCCACGCCTCTCCCTGGAAGATGTCTAATCCTTCGTTCTTTTGCACCTCCAAGCCCCAGCGTCCCAAGGAGACCTTCTGATCGTCCTGACCGATTTCTTCGGATGCCCAAATGTGACCAAGTGCAGCAACTAGTAAATTCTGTATTTCTGATGGGGCCTGGCTTGGGCTTCAAGGTCAACAAATGTAAAAAAAGACAAACCTATTTCCACACACACACATGTCCGGTAGATTCAAAACCTAGTGGTGCTCAGTCAAAACAAACAGTTCCAAAACAACAACTTCCAAAGAAACCCAAACTGGAACACATTTTGCAGCGCCATCAGCACGCCATGCCAATGGAAGAAGGTTTTCCCGCAAACGTCCTTCCGCCGAAGAAGCGCGGAAGGAACGGAGAAAACGCGCGTCCTTCATGAACTTCCTCACTGCTAGGACGTGACCCAAGAGCGGCAGCCAACCTCCGGCATAGGGCACCTCTTCGCCTACGGCAACTGTGTTTGATGTGATGGCACTTTTTTTCTGCAGTGAACGGGACCTTGTCATACCTTGTCCTATGCCCTATGTTATATAACTTGTCAAAAGGCAAAGGTAACATGTTGAAACAAACCACGCAATACAATAATGGCTAAAGGGTGGTGAGGAACCTAAGGAACCCGGTAATTCGGATGATTGGTCTGTGTGCGATATCCTGCACAAACATGGCCCCCCAAAAGGCCCTATGCATGAATCTGATCCGGTCGGCTTTACCGGACACTAGGGCTTGATACGAACAGTACTATAGTCACTATAGTCACTGAGGAGGGTTACTGGCCCTGCGGAAACAAACAGGCGTGATATGGGGTGATGTCCTCCAAAAAAAGGCCACAGTGATGTTCAGGTTCGATGTTCCAAATCTTCCAAGGTGTCGGACTGAACCGATAGCAACACGACCACGGGACACAGCTGACCAGGTCGGTTGGAACACCCGTGTGGACGAAAAGCACCGGACGGACAACGACGGACGAGTCCAAAGGAGTGAGTTCTTCGGTGAAAACCCTCAAAAAGCGACTTTCTTCGGGCGACTGAACCAAGAATCCCATCCAGTGACCAGGTGGATCGCCATATGAGTGACCGAATCAACCGGGGCTTTCTGAAGTTGGGTGACTGGATCCGCCAAGGCCAGCGCTGGTTCCACCGCCTTAAGCCCCCACACCCCGCCCTGCCTGGCATCGACGTTTGTCGCCATCGACGAAACAGCTGCAACTCAGTGAGGGCGTAGTGGGACAAAGGTCAACCCACGAAAAGCCTGCTTCCACTTGCTGGTCTTAGGAGGTTGATGACTCTTCATTATATTTCATGGGATTTGCTTTTGAACCAAGTGCTGGAGGACTATACATAACTACATGCTGTCAACCAATATAGTTGTTTTGGAACTAGGATTCTGGAAGGCGGACGACTTGTTGGGGAATTCTACGCATCTATATTATACTTGGATGTCAATAATAACCTGCCGCAAACCACTTGGACGTCCATGCGTATCCATCCAACAGAGGTTGAAAAACCCTATGGACATCTATATAATCATCCATAGACAATCCCATATGTGGGTCCTTTTTTAGGTCACTTAACCTCTCTTGGATCCCACGAAAAGAATTAAACGCTGGCCGAGTTGCGACAGAGAAGACTCCCAGGGCTGCCAAAATGGTGTGATAGCTCGTGAGTTCCTCAAGCAGGCCCCCTTTTTCTGGTGGGGTCGGGTCACTCAGCACGTCTCTAGGACGACACAGCTGTCTTCACCCGAACGGATGCGTGAGGGCCCCGTGTTGGTCAAACACAACCGGACCAACCAGTTGGGCCTGTTTGTCACAACCCTCGTTACCCTGGTTAGTCTATATAGTCTATATGTGTGGCCGTAACGGTCTGTTGAACATTATACATTGAAACAAGGTCGCAATTGAATGGATCTGGCCACCACTGAACAAGCTCAGGAACTTTGGCGGACTTGATCGCTACTCAGCTTGCGTCGCTCAAGCCAACACTGAACCTGCACCTTGGGACCTGGCCACTGGTCTTCGCCAAAAGTCCGAGACCCTGCAAAGTGGGGGCCTTCCAATACGCTGTGGCTGCAGGTGTGGGCAGCCTCCAAAGTACGACCACGAATGACCACGACCATTCCTAAACAAACATACCGCCATCCAATGGCATTGAATTTGGTTCACATCCAAGGTATCTACAACATTCTACAACTATGCACTTTCCAAATCTATGGAACACATAACATGTACAGTATGTGGTTGGAATCCGGATGCATGAGGAATGATAGATCAATGGCTCCCGAGCACAAAAAGCCCATGCAAACAAAATACTCAGTGGTCTGCGATGGTCTGCGCATGTCTGCGCCTAATCTTTGTGTTCTTCGTCTCCCCCATCTCCGCCACTACACCCTCTCAACTTCCGGAAAGAACAAGGATCCTGCGCAGCTACAAGCTTAGTCATCGCCAACACAGGGAACAGTGGCACCGCGCGCTTAATCCCCAATCGCGGTCCGCGGCCGAGACGTGGCTGCGGTGTCGACGTGGCGTCGCCGTGGCCGAGTGTTCCGTTGGACCCACCTTTGGATGGTCTACAGAAGCATGATGAACATGCGAGTAGCAACGCAACGAGCAACGATTCACCCGTATGGCCCCAAACATGCAGGCTAGCTGAAGGCCAAACACATGAACAATGTCCTCTATATATTAAATACCTGACCTGGCTATGCTCACTTCATCTTACGGATTCATCCAAGAAAGCCCTTCCACTCCTCGCTTCTGATTGGCGGGTTCTGATCACTTCTGATAACTAAGTGACATTTATACTGATTTATACTACATAGTTAGTATATAGGCTACGGCCGGGGGTTGCCAATGGCTCCGTCAGCAAATAATATATAGATGTCATATCTTCTCCCGTTCCCTGCAACCAAACCTTGCAAAGCAAGCTCATAAGCCACCAGGAGATATTGAGGCAATTCACGGCACAAACAATAGACCCGCGCAAGTTCTCTGCCTCCTCTGCTCCATTTGATAAAAGCCAGTGCGAGACTCCCATGTTCGGAGCTTTGAAGCACAACAGACCGAGGAATTTGAGGAAATTGGTACAGTAAGTTAAACAATCCATGGACTACTTCATCACACACGGATCCCTGCAAACATACATATTGATACATCACATCCTCTATGGCTTTCGGGGTGGTTTTGGCTCCGCCTTCCCCACCGGTGTCCGCAGCTTCGCCGCTGCCCAAGCTTGGCTCGTGGCTGGATGCGCTCACGAATGACCAGCGGATCTCCACCTGAAAGGTCCACGGGGTGGCCACCAAGAGTGGGATGCAACCACCTCAACCACCTCCATGAGACCCCTGTGTGGTGCAGGTGATTGGCCGGATTCCTACAAACATGTGTTAAACATGGAGGGGGAAATTGGATAGTGGACACGGGTGTCTCCATGCTATTATCGCTGATACTTGGGGGTGGACCGTCTCCACTGCGCGACCGACAAAGTCTCCCCAGCTGTGCATTCATGCCACTGCACTGCCCTTAGGGTCCACAAAGCATCTGTTTGTTGGAGACGTTTAGGAGCACATTGCACAAACCGCCTTCTGGTCACCAACTTCTTAGCAGCCAGCAGATGCCAGCAGCGTACAAGTTGCTGTTTCGCTGTTTCGACAGGGTGTGTCATTCCAGATTGCTCTAGTAAGGAAAGGTTCTTTAGTTATCTTGCACTGCATTATTGCCCTGTTAGCTGCAAACAGGTCATTCAATCACTCATATCAATATCCGTTTTCTCATCTCATGGTGTCATGTGCCTACAATACTTGTATATACAGGAACCCCTGTATATCTTTGATGGCAACTCCGCACAACAGGGAAGAGGCAAGCTTACAACTTCATCACCAAGAAAAAAAGGTGACTCCAGAATTAGTGCATACAGTGCAGTCCGCCTGCCAAAAAGGAACATGAAACCCAACCGATTGGCTGTGGATCCCGTTCTCACGACAAGAACTCGAACCACCAGCATTGGCGCACAGTGCAGCTAAGATCAATGGCCTCCACCCTAATAGCGATGGCCTCCAACCTACTATAGCTTCTTGTTACCCGTAGTTTATGTTTGTTCCATTTAATTCAAGTCGACCTTTTGCAGAACCGCTTTGTAACCGATTTTGTGCAAAGCCAGTGATGGATTTTGCAGAACCGCTGTTCTTCGGCGCCCGCGCGTTGGACCACCGTTTGATGGATCCGATTGTCCATTCGGCCCTGATGGATCGATCCAGGTCGGCGTAGAGCGGTCGACATTGGAACTGTGTGATGGGTGGTGGGAATAGCTGGTATAATGCGAACCCCCCCTTCAAGATCAACAAGGTTTGAGATTGGAGGTATTGGAGATAGTGATGATCTGATGATGGGATGATGAGATGATGACAAGATTCGGAAAGATTGGGATTGGGATGATTGGGATGATTAGGAAAAAGATGATAGAGATTGGAAAACAAGATTCTTTCTTTGATTGGGATGATTAGGAAAAGAGGATTGCAGGATGAAAGAGACGGAAAACCAAATGGAGGCCAAAGGGTGGGCTTGATTAATAGGGGCAGGGGCTCCTACTATTAGAGGGTGGTAGGGCCTGTGTGAGGGGTACCCTTTGCTCTTGAACACCTTACTTAAGATGTTGATAGAGTTTCATTAAGGGAAAATGAATAATTTGTTGCTAGCGATTTTTTGGGTGTTTTAACAGGGAAGGATGAGAAGAACGATAAAAATGAGAAGCAACAGGAGGATGAGAATGATGGATGAGTGGACAAAAAATATCAGATACTAGCCGAACAGAACGTACATAATAACGAATACGCTCCCAAAGACTAACGTGCGTGAAAAAAAGAAAAACGTTGTTTTACACACGTTTAAAAAAACTGCATGATATCAAGACCCTAGTTGCCGGAGTGCTATGTTAATGTACTTTGGACCTCTCTCTCGCTGTTTCCTGGGGAATTGAAAAGTAGCACGAAGCAGCCCACAGGCCGGTTACGAGCTAGCATCATTCCTGGGGATAGTCACCGGTCTCAAAACAGACTTCAACGTGTAAGTGTGGCTGGTCCACGTTAACCTAGGCAGGTCCACGTATTCGGTGACGTACGTCAAGGGTCCATGAAAGACCCCAAAACCGTGTTCCCCAGTATAACCAACCGGTAGACATACACACGTTTAATTAGCACAAAAGTGTTTTCCAGGCACAGGTTAGTTTGCCAGAGCGTAACTACAATAATGTATAGTAAACCATATGTTTGTCTAGGGCAGCTAGGCTTGATTAATAGGTGGAGGTTTCTGGCAAGGAAATACAATATGTTTTAGGTTTAAAGTATTTTAGCATTGGGGGCTCAAACTGCGCATTACCGGTATCCCGGTGTCCCCAAACACAACTATAGATACTTAACTAACATATTTATGTATGAGTGCTTTGATCGTTTGAGAGCCCTCCCAAAGTCATCCCAATCTTCATCTCGTTGCAGAACGAAGGTGATGCCGGCTGGGACTTGTCAAAGCATTCACACACTATAGGATGTGTTTAACAAAGCCGACGAATTGCGTTTCGGCCGAATCGACACCAATCACCTCTGTGGTGGGGGCAGATCAGTCTCAGTCATTTGGCACTTGTGCTAAAATCCGCAAATTGAGCAGTCATTTGGCTCACAGTCCGGAATGGTCAGATTGTGATCGCATCTGAACTCAAACCCTTCAACAAGCTGGACACCACCCACATGCGGGAACAAACATTAGTCGCACAGGCACAAACCCCTCAACGGGTGGGCGTAATCTTGGTAAAAGGAAACATGCCTGAACATGTTCTCCATGTAGCTTCAGTGAACCACACATTCACACAGATACACATTATTTACGTATAGAAATATGTCTGATCTTATGTATCACTCACTGTATCACACATTGAATTCTTGCCTTGTTTGTTTGCTTTGTTTAAGCCCGCCATCTCCAACGGAGCGAGACATAGCTCGACTCCACTCACATCCGGTCACATCACCGGGCGCCTCCAGGAGTGAGAGCCTGGGTGCGTGGCGCCGCTTGGGGGATTGGTCACCTACCTGTGGGATTGGTCACCAACGGTGAAGTACTGCAAACCCTGCGGTCTTTCAACAGGACCACCAGGCCAACCTAAATCCCATGAAATGTGTTTGGGGGGTCATGTGGAAGGCCAATTCCTTTGGGCTTCGGCAATCCCAAAGTCGACGCTTTTGGGACCATAATCTCTCCACTTTGCAGCGGAGCCAACAGTTTTGCTGATGTTTGACTCGGACCAACGACTGTTCTTCGGACCACGGGGTAGAACCCTCGGTGATTTTTCTATACCCCCGACATGTCTGGTCTCCCGCCCAGGAGCGAAAGAGGATCTTGAGAATCCACCGTAGGAAAACCATGTGACTCAGGGCCATCGTCCAAGTACTCCAGGAATAAATAAGTTTGGAGAAGTTCCCGCAGATCTTCGGGGTAATCATCGTTGCCATCGGCTGCCCGTGCTATCAAACTGAAGGACCAATCCCGTGCAACACATTTGCACATGTTTCATCATGTTTCGGTTTCACCCATCAAAAGCAAGCAGGCATAGCACGCAGGCTCCAGCAATGTCCGGTCTCAGCTGCCCAGCAGGGTATTCAGCAACTCCGTCTTGAGCTCGCGTACTCCTGTTGGATAAACGTCGCCCTCCTGCGCAGGTCCACGATGGGGGCGGAACGATGGTCCAGGGTGCCATGTCTCGAACGAACGAACGAACGAACGCACGTCCACTCGCACGTCCCTCAGGGTCCAAATCTGGTGGGAAAAACTGGTGAGTTTGCACTCTTGTTGGAGGGGGGTGGAAGTTGCTACCAGAAGAAATGGCATTGGCCATTCGAAATCCCGACGCAACACATGACACAGCTGTTTGCCGAAGACAGGTTTGACATGTTCGAAGACTCGACGGTCGCGTGATCACGCTTCCCCAAGATGGAAGTGCCCAGTCTGACTGGCCGTTCGCATGTGATGGCGCGCTGCTGCGCTGCTGGACCAAGAATCAGTGCAGGTGTGTGGGGTGGTCCTGGCAAAGGCGAAAAGCAGTGGCCCTGGCTGCAAGGATCATGATGCGTTTGCCTCTCTTGCCACGTCATTTCGTGGCACACGACTGGGAATCAGGGTGGCTAAGAGCTCACAAAAGGTCGTGGAAGAAGCTCATCGCTGTCCCCATGGGTTTGTCATGTTTGTCAAAAGCTGCTGCACCAGCGGCATCTTTGGCAAGATTGTCTTGACAGCAACCATGGCTGGTGATTTCGTATTTCTTGGTCGTTTGTGAAAGCAGTGGCTGCATGGCATGGGTTGTTGCGCCACCAACTCCTGGAAATGGCCTCTTTGATCCTCTGCGCTTTCAGGGACTTCAGGCTGCCGTTCTCGACCGCTGTTGCGCTGTCAGGTGGCGGAGGGAGTGTTCCAGGGGTCAGGTTTTGGACAAAGAACGCATCGAGGGTCCAATGCAAATGCTCAATTGATTTGATTTGGCATGTACGGAGTATGCTCAATGCAAAATGCTCATCAGATTGCTTGAACTGCCCCAAGACTCCAATACCTCCTAGAAGTTGCTGGTAGATGGGACGTGGCTTTTGGAGCACCCGTTGATCTCAACAGACCGTGTCCGCTGAATCTCGGGGCGGCCGTGACTCTCCGATCGCAGCAGATCGGAGCGTTTTCGGCAGACCACCTGGAATCCACGGTGGTTTGCGCGCGAAGCACGAAGAGTCAAGAAAACCGCTGAGCTATGAGTCAAAGTTGAAAATGTCCAGAATGTATTTGCAAAACATGGCTTAACAGGATCACTCAATGCAGCCCCGGATGGAAGCCTTCTTCAGATGATGGGCAAAGTTCAAGTTGGATCCCAAAGCCCAAGGTAAATCAAAGTAAAGGTCCGACACATGGATGTGAATGCAGAAACTACACTAACCATGTGCAAAGTATAGAAGGATGCCAGGATGCCCCTGCCAATTCGGTACAACCACCCGCTGAGATCTGTTCCGGCTCCATGTTGAATTGCTATCCCGGGCCTTTCCTCAAAGCACATACACTGGTCACTGGAAAAATACGGTGAAAACTGTCCTGTTAGTTGTCCAGATTCAAGGATTTGGAATCCACAACGCTTTGCTGTCGGATGTATATACCATATACCCTATTGAACTAACATGGCAGTGAAAACCTCCCTGCTTGTAGAGGAAAGTTGTCTATTCATTCTTGTATTGTCTCCGAGGATTTGCATGGATTTGCAACAGAAACAAGCATGGAAGTGAATAGCATGGCCTGGATTTCCCACTTCCGTATTGTTTGCATTGTTGATCTTTATGAGCATGTGCTCAAGTCTTATATTCAAACCAAGGGCCGCATGCACAAATTGACTTCAACAACCAGCCACGAAGCTGCATGCGGCTAGGCCCTAGGCCTCTTGGCCCTTCCGAAAAGCCCGCCTACCATCTGTCATCAGTCAGCACTGTCATTCCGGGTGTCAGTAAGCATGTGGTATATGTTATTATCTCACTGATGCTTGTAAGATGTCCTAAGTGCTACCAATTTGAACAGTATATAATCAACTGCACTGAAAGAACTGTCTCAAGCCAAGGTGGTAGGGGCAATGAATGGACCAGCCACTGTACAATCATGCTCTTGCGGCAAAAAAAATGGTTGTTCAAGTGCCAGCAACGGGATCAAGCCTGGAGAATACCGTCAACAACCATGTTGAAAGCATGCGCTCTTGTGGTACCAATACACAGGGACAAACACCTTTTCGGAACAAACATCCGCCATACCCATTTACGGGACAAGTTGTGGCACAGTACAGTATCGTTTTTCGATGCAGTATAGTGTTGAGTGGTCCGCGTCGATTTGGTGACCTGGTGACTGGATAGTGGCACTCATCATCCAGTGATCCTTCGTGGCGCATGGGCTGTTATGCTATTCGAATTCTGCATGTTGGATGTTCCACAATTCACCTCGTAGGATTTTATAACTATGACTGTCATGACTATAGTAATGTCAAAACCGGGCAGAAAACACCATCACCTATCCACACGTAGCGCATCGTAGCGCCCTACGCAGTCTTCTACGAAGAAAACCACGTAGCGCACACCCAGCTTGGAGCCTTGCAGCCATGAACGGAAGTGTGAGCTGGGTAACCTGGGCAACCTTCAAACCAAAACAAGCCTTCAAAAAGGTCTTTCCAGGTCAGGCCCCCCTCTTTGACCAGAAGCATGAAATAGATGCAAGTCTGAACAGCATTCTCCTGGTTTGTATCTCCTTTTTTTCCAGGCCAACCCGGACCTCTCACTCCGTAGGCTGCATCAACCTCAGCACCGAAGAACGGAAGGAATCCGAGGAATCCGACCGACTGGGACCCCGGACCGATTGATGCATGTTCCGAGCGTTTCTGTCACTTGGAAATTTCCTTTCGGCCTGCCTTCACACAACGGCAAAGACATCAGGCAACATCTTCAAGGTCCGAAAGTGAGTGACGGAACGGACCGCCTGCTACTTCTGGTGTCTCATCGGTTTCGAAACGGACGGGACGTCGTTTGGTGCGCGGGACGGCGCGGATGTGAGCGGATACAGGTGGTGAGGTCACGAGAGGTCACGATGAACACGACCGGTCGCTGGATGAACACGCTCATTCAAAAACAGTGGGTGGACCCTGAAAAGGCTGAGGCAGCGTTGTCGTGTGATGCAGGGGAAACAAGAGAACGCACGACAATGGTCATGTGGCGGCTGGAAAGTGGAAACGCGGTGAACTGCAGGGTGGTGATGTCGTTGGGTGGTGATCTGTAGTGCTGGTCGAAATGCATCGGCCGCATTTTCAGCCCATGGCCCTTTGCTTGGGCACATGCTGGCCTGTAGAACTGGCTGCTTTTGTGTGCGTTATAGTGGACACTTCTCCAGTGTTGTCCTGCGGAGATTTCGACTTCTTCAAACATGTGATTTTGTGGAAATTACATCTACTTTTCTACACTGTTTGATTGAGAGCTCTGCATTACCAAATGTTCAATAACATTTGAACAAAACAACTCTTCCAACTTCCCTCTTGAAATCTCTCTGTTTCCGTACTTGTCCGGCTACTTATCCAATTTCTCTGAGGACAAGTCATTCTTTGTGGACAGTCTTCTGCTCTATAGAAATGTGTTCTTTTTTTCCGTTGAACTTGTCACTTGTCCGCAAGGTTCTATGCTGACCACGTTTTCCAAAATAACTGAACTCGACAAAACTTACCAACATTCCCTACCTGGGCCCACAGGGAGTTGGAGAGGTCGTGCAGCCAAATGACACCCAGGAAAGACAAAAGAACAAAATGAACAAATCAAACCTCAAACCAATCTCAAACCTCTTGTGGCAGCGGCCCTGACACCACCAGGCCCACAGTGTTACCTTCAAACCCCACCCAGCACCACGCCGGTGGAGAAGCAGACCCCCTTCAACCCGCGCCGAGCTGCTCAGTTGATTCGTCTCACGCGGTTGGGAGAGGCCGTGGCGATCTGTCGGAAGTTGGGGATGTGACCTCAGTGCCGTGACCCGCGGTGTCACGTCCGCGGTCCGGGGGGGAAAACGCGACGCGACGAAGGGGGGCGCGACCCCTGGCCGTGCGACTAGTGACAAGAAGCTACTAGGAACAAGGGCAAAACAAGGAGCAAATAGCTACTTAGTAACAAGAAAAGAACAATCGAACGAAATCAAACGATCGACACGACATCCAGCGAGGAGACGGTTGGCCAAACGAGACCAATTAAAGGGCGGACAGGTGGCATGGAACGTCGGCATGGTGCAGCGAAACATGTCGAAGGGATTTGGTGGCTGTCTTCCAAAGGAGTGAACTGCTGGATCTTTCTGAATCTTGCAGTGAACTTCTATGAACTTGTTACCATAGATTATATATATATCACCTCTGCTCCAGGATGGATTCGTATTTCAAATCATGCGGTCTTGGAATTTTACATCTCTTTGTCAGGTACATCTTGAAAACGATTAACCTCTAATCGATCAATCAACTGGGTGAGATACAAGCTGTCGTGCCGTCGTGTCAATGGATGTGAAAAGCAAAACATATCCGGAATTTTCAGGATATGTTTATTGCACTGCTCAAGGTATTTAAGACATGTTCAGATTCAACAGTTCAGTTCGGCACGTTTTCCCACAGCCTCTCTATGACCCAGTGACTCTGTCGCCCGGTGTCAAAGAAGTTCTTGCGAGTGAAGCCACTGTTTCCTGGGTTGGACTCTGATTTCGCCAATTGTCTACTTGAGGCGACGGAGGTGGACGAAAGGTAGAGGTTGGAAGATTCATGAAGGTTCTGAGCAGAAGCACGCAGCCAGCAGCAGCAGCAAACCAGCAAAGCAGCAGCAGCAAACGAGCAGCAGCAGCAGCAGCAGCAGCAGCAACAGCAACAGCAACAGCAACAGCAACAGCAACAGCAAAGCAGCAGTTGCAGCACAGCAAAGCAGCAGTTGCAGCACAGCAAAGCAGAAAGCAGCAGCAGGGCACTAGTGGCAGCAGCAACACACAAGTTTGGCCTCCACAACCCTAGGTTTTCGTTCCGTTTTTGTGGGGTTGCGCAGACGAAATTGAAAGAGGGTGGGGACTTGTCATGGTCGAGGGCGGAGAAAGAAAGCACCAACAGTGCCCGCCCCGAAAGCCCCAACACCGGCAAT